TAAAAAAAAAAAAAAAAAAAAAAAAAGTACTGTAGAATATCCATAAAAAAGATGATGAACCATCTGGCTGCCTATAAATGAAACAAAGCTTTTATTGAAAATTCTACATGAGAATATTAAGTTGAAGCTTGTGAAATATATTTTGGTAGCATGCCCACAAATGAAATAAAGCACTGTTTTGACTGTGTTAAGCCATGCTAGATTGATTTCACCATAGAAGGCCAACATTTGTAGCAATAACTAATAACTGAACTCTACTTCTCCGGTGGGGTACCAACATCAGCATCACCATCGCCTGCACCTCCACCTATGCCGCCACCGCCGCCAGCACCACCACTGCCTCCAGCGCCTCCACCTACGCCACCACCGCCGCCAGCACCTCCACCTAAGCCGCCAAGGCCACCAAATCCACCTGCCCCAATAGCGTCCCCGAGACCGCCTAGTCCACCCATGCCAAGGCCAAAGCCAAGACCGGTAGCTAAACCAAAACCAGCATTCCCCATGCCACCGAATGTGGGGATGTTCTTCTGCTCATTAAGAATCAGACCCGCGTCAACAGGCAGAACTCTTGCTGTTGCCTCAGCTACAACAAGAGCTAGAAGAAAAAACATTATGCATAACTTTGCCATCTTTATAAAATATTTCTCTTAATTTAATTAACGGAAGTTGTAGCTCTCCTTTTATAGACATGCACAGGGGTGGAGGAGGAGGAGGAGGCGGGGGTACTCAGCAGTTACTACGTTGAATGAATGATAATAAATAGAATAATGTAACGTTTATAACAAATGTTTATAAAAGCTTTAAATCCTTCAAATTAATGTGATCTAATTATTAGCTACTTTAATTTAAAAGTAATTTGAGTGCAAAATCTTATATACAAATATAATGTGAGATTTCAATGGTTGCATAATTTCACTTAATAAACTGTGTTTTAAAATTTATTTTTTATATTCTACATTTGCATAATGGTTACCAGAAAATATCTCTTATGAGAAATTCCTCAATATGTCATTATAAATAGTTGAACTGATAAAATAATAAATCACACCACATAGATTACTTTACATAATGTTTTGCGTATTATTTCTAAAATTATGGTACATAAAGTGTAAAATATTCACCCTATAGATAGTGTGTCTTTTGTATTTTTAATAATATATCTAAATGGGCGTTAACATATATAAGTTACTATAAGTTACATATAATTAGTAATTACTATATTAATTGGTCAGAAATTTTATTATAATTAGTAATTACTATATTAATTGGTCAGAAATTTTATTATTATTATTTTCTTTTTTTATATATTTTTTGCTCTCAAC